TTCACATTTTCTTCCTCATTAACCTGCAAAAAATTGTATTGCACAAAATATTAAACTGAAAGTTTAATACTTCAATACTCAAAAACCAAAAATAACCAAGAGTTAAAAAGAATGATTACCAAAACATTTCGAGCAGCAAGATCTCGATGCACAAACTGATGAGACTCCAAGTACGCCATAGCATCTGCTATTTGGGCTCCCCAAAGGAAGCACTGCTCTAATTTTACCGCACTATCGCCATAACCAACATTATAAGGCTTTTTTGGAGGTAATTCGTCTAGAAGATAGTAATCAGAGTCATCTCTATCGCCACGTCCTTCCCGAATATGTCTCTGCCTTCTACTTTCCGAACAGAGTTCGATGTATTCCTGCTCTTGCTTTGCTCTACGTTCACGCAATAGGTCTCTCAGATTACCCTAGAAAACCCAATATCATTACTTAGATAACTTAAAAGGATGATAATTACTTCTTCTATCAAATTTTTAAAGCCTACTGCTTAAACTAAATTTGGTTTTTGTGGGTGCATAAAAAGTCAAGAAAATTATTGCTACTGTGAGGTACAGAACACTAAACTTTCAGTTACTGAGAAATCCAAGAATTTCTTTCAAAAAAAGAAATTTTATAACATTTTGAAAATGCAGTGACGATCAGAATTGAAAATGCAATAATAATAAATAGGAAGGAAAAAAACGAAGACGAAAAAGAGAAAATGTGTAGCACAGATGCTACTGAAACCTTTTCCATATATTCCAAAAATATCAGTGCTGGTTGACCTCTTTCAGCAGAAATTCCATACAACTTTATAATAAAAGTGGTGTCAAAATTCTTCATTAGCTGTCCTTCTGCAATGAAATGTTTTCTCGACAATGCGTCGTCGGTTAAAGGAGATCTTTTCACAGCGCATCTGGTGAAAGAATAGCCGCTATCAGGCAGTGGCTCTGCATAAAAAACCTAAAAAAGTCCAGAAAAATAAGAGAACCTTTAAAAAAGAAAAAATTCCAACCGACAAAGCAAATAACTTCTGGTAATAAAAAACCTGACTTCTCCGAATCTCCCAGCGCCTATTTTCTTTATAAAATTAATTTTATTGCGATCAATATCCCATTCATCCGGCTTATATTCGTCTTCATCTTCATAAGTGAACCCGAAGCTCAGAAGTGCCTCTTTCCCAAAAACCTTAAAAAGACTCAAACTTAAAAATTCAAAAATGAGCAGCTAAAATACTAAACATAAAAGCTTCCATAATAACAAAAATTTGAAAAGATAACTTCAGCAGAACATAAATTTATTAAAGGATTGGAAGACTTAAATATAAAAATCAGGAACGGCAGATCACACATATAAGAATCCCTACAAAAAAACAATAATAAGACGACTAAAAAATTTTACGAACCCATTTTCGAGCTATTTTACTTGTCATGGATAAGCCGACTGATATGATAACAGCTAGTAAAAGCAGGAAAACAAGAAGTAGTTTTACTGCAGTCTGTAAATACTTTTTTTCAGGTAAGTAACAGAAGCAGGATATGTTAACTTTGAAGGAATCCTAAGGAAAACTTCAAAACCCACTCGCCACGTCAAGAACGGCTCCTTCACTACAAGAGAAGACTTCATTTTCGAAATATTGTCCGATATAGAACCGTTGAGAACAGCAGTAGTAATTGGTTGGACAGCTACTTCATAAGTTCCCTCCGCCAAGTTATAAAATACGACTCTTCTTCTACGCCGAAATTCTGAAGCATTTACGCATTTCGACACCGGATCAGCCTAAAAATTCTTCACCAATTTTGACTAGCTGAACGAACTACAAAAGAAATCTTCGTCAAAATTTTCCACTTTTTCGGCCAAAAAATTTACTTACCTTATTTGTTCCAAGTGGCGTTAATCTGACTTCATAAGCAAGTACAGCACCATTTGGATCTCTAACTTCTTCCCAAGTGAGTGTCCGACTCCTCTCTTTATCCTCTGAAGAAGCATTTGTAGCAACCACCTTAATTCCTTTCACAACATCATTGTTGACTGAAAATAAAATCCAAATCAAATAATAAAAATAAGTGATTTAAAATCGAAGACAAAAAGTCCGACGTTTTCAAAACACATACACAATTCCATTGTTCGTACTGTTACATTTGCAGTTGTTTCCGAGCAATATCCAATGCTTTCCGCAGTATCAGACTGACATGCAGAAACCTAAAAAATTTATTCAACAGCGGAACTTTCATGAACTGGTCAAAAAAGATATAAAACAAATACAGGTAGAAGCCAACCTTAATTCGATAATTGGTGTAATGTTTCAGACCACGAATAATAGCTCTTAATCGGGTTAATCTGAACTTATAAACTAATTTTTCTTTGTCTGCGTAACATATTGTTATATCACCATAATAATCTTTTTGTACATCGCAATTTTCATAAACTGTTTGATTTCTCGTAGTGGGAAACAAATTTAACAAAAGATGACGTCTTTGTCTATTATGTCTGTCGCTTTTCACACTGAAACTCACGACGAACATTATATTTAATAGCGGTCTAAATATTACGAATTTAATGAGACTTCCAAAAATGCACCACGAATTAAAAAAGAAAAATTCTTGTTTAATGTGCTCTTTTAAAATTGTCAGGAAAAAATAATCTGAAA